GATACCGGCCATCTCAGTGGTCTAGAGGTTAAGCGCTTGCGCGCGAAACTGATAGGTCCTGGGTTCGAATCCCGCGAGGTAGGATCGTGGATGCGCACTGCTAAGGACTCCCACAGTAGGACGAAATGGCCGTCTGGTGCTTCCAGGTTTTCCATGGGAGTCTAGCTTCAATTGACTCACGATCTCAACTATAGAGATTACTAAAATATCCACGAAACCCCTTCTGATATATATTTTTTGTGTTGTGAGTTTTAATAATCTGAAAATAAGTTTTATTTCACTATGTCATCGGTTGCTAACCATATAATATATAAGGTTCAAAAATAGGATATCGCTGCTTATTATATAAAAATCCATAGATTATGAATTATGCATTGGAATATAACTTATTTGTACTCTTCCTGCTTGTATGTCATGAGATTGTTCACGTTAGAACTACCTCATGAATTCACGAAGTAAACTCTCAGCATAGTGATTAGATACACAGGTTACACTTTTTTCCTTGTCTAGTTAAATATATAAATGTTTCTTTCTGTTAAGAGTAGTAAAATGAACAAAATATCTTTTTCACTAATTAATAAACTGTGTGCTGTGTAGACTAAAGGTAACTGCTGTCGACCATGCAGGAATTTCTCGTATAACGAAAGAAATATACTTGTATGGATCTTGATTGTGTATCAATTGACTGACTTAATATGATTTTTGTTACTGAGGGATAACTACTCCTAAAAATTGATTTTTTTAATACAATGTCAGGAATAGCAGATGCTAAAAAACAACCAATTGTTCACTAGCAGAAATGAGTCCTCTTATTTAACAAAACGGCTTAACCGTGTAAATAAACTTTTTTATTCATATCATGAACCAGTTGATGTCAGACCACTATTGAAAACCTGGAAGCACTGGACGGCCGTCTCGTCCTGTTGTGGGACTCCTCAGCAGTGCGCACACCCGATCCCGCTCGCGGGATTCGATCGGTTCATGATCTGAATCAAAAACTTAACGATCTTCACAACCCTATATTGATAATTACCATGTGCTCACTGGTGGCTAGCTTCGTGAGACAATTCTCAGAGTTCTAGTGAGAAGCCGTGACCAGTGGAGCTAATCCATGTCGGGTAGAGACATGTATCTACCTCAGTAAAATGAAAGATGGTCGCGCAATTTTGTGGATTGGTTGAGGTTAGACATTAACACGTTTGGATACCGGCCACTTCAGTGGTCCAGTAGGTTAAGCGTTCGCGCACGAGACTGAAGGCCCTGGGTTCGAATCCCTCGAGGCGGAATCGTGGACGCACATCGCTGGACGAAACGGCCGTCCAGTGCTTTGAGGTTTTCCATGGTGGTCTAACATCAATTGGTTCATGATATGAATCAAAAACTTAATCATCTCCACAACCCTATACTGAAAATAAACTTTTGCGTGATATATGTTATTTAACCCAATTTAACTTATGTCAGGGGATAAACATTACTATTTTTGAAACATGTGCTGTAACACAAGTTTTGTTTCACAAAAGCGCGTATCCTGATAGAAAATAGTGGTAACATCTTAAGTGTTACTGGTCAAAATAGAGAGTAAACTGTAATCAATCAGAAGTGAGTTACTCTTTTAAGTGAGTCGTTCAGTTGGACTATTCTGTTTAAATCAATGGCCTTTCAGAAATACGGAGACCGTTATTTACGTTTTGATCTAATTCAGTAACAGTAATATTCTGTTGTTTTATTTTAACAAAACTATGTTATTTCTGTATATCTGATAAATTTATTTAAAATAACGTCAAAAATAAGATTTCGCCTGAATTGAAGGGGTCAAATAAGGACAAGTGGAAAAATAGCTACCTACTGAGACGATGAATGAACTGTTTCAATATCATATGGAAAGAAACAGGAATCAATGAACAGATTATCACCTGATACTATTATAAAGAGTCATCTGAGAAATGAAAAGATGAATAAACTTAATAGAATATTAGTATATAGGGAACGACTTGGGTTGCGTTTGTTCAGAACAGAAGCACGACACTATAAATGAAAATGTTATTTTGAGTCAAGATGTTTTATCTCGATGTATCCATTATCTTTTTGAAAACTAAAGCGGGAACACTTTCATCTTCCTAGTAAACAACATTCAGATATTACTTTCATCCGACCTAAAGTGACATTTTAACCCAGTATTTTTATCGCCGATTGTTTCCCTAGATTCCTATGTTTTGCTCCTTTCCTTTAGTCAAATTATTTACTTAGATCTCGGATTCCTCCACGTAAGCAGCCGGTGTTAACAATTCGAGTTAACAAAGTCGGATTTCCGGTTTCGCAAGGTTGCACCACATATTTGAGTTTCCGACATTCACATTTTGTCAAACCAACCTAAAGGCCTCATTAGTTGAGAAACAGACACTTCCGAGTGAAATCCCAATTGGTATTTATCTGTAGTATCCTCAGTTGCATGAGCTTGTAAGATTTTCGAAAGGTCAAGATACGTGTCTTTGTTCTTTGGATTCCAAACTGGCTACAGCTTAAACGTAGAGGTCAGTTTTGTTGAATATTACTCAACCTTATCAGAAAAACCCAGCACTCAAACGTAGTAATTTATGCAGGAAGCTTTAACGCCTAAATATGGCAGTCCAAATCAAGCAAATATTCAAGTGATGATTTGACATTCCATCCCAATGAATAGACCATAATAACTTCCACTGGCACCCCAACCCGACCTAAGGCCTCGTGTCGCTGCTGGGTAGTAGGGGGAGCCTTGCCAACCAACTTAGGCGGTCAACGGAGAACAAACTTATTACACACTCTATTGTATCTTTGATCAACTTGAGGCTCACATAACCGCACTGAGCCATTTGATTTGTATGTTTATATACAAGAATTGCAGAAGTCTTCGGGCTTATGTAGTTCATATATGTAGGTATATTCAAAAGGGATACGTGTGGTGTCGTACGAAGGAAACGCCGGCTGAAATATTGTCTGCCCTATGTCTAATAAAATAAGGAGCCTGTTAATCAGATCAAAGACAAAAAGAGTTAGCAGCAAATGCCAGGAAGAGACGACCAACAACCTCTCATGAGAGAATGTTTATGCTTATGTGTGTCAGGAAGTAATGGGGCGATAGATATGTGCCCAATGATATGCATGTAATGTGTAAGAAACAATCTGGTGTAGCGAATATGTTCTCAAGGGAGTGGCGAACACATATCCTCCCAGGCACGTGAATGTACCTATATGTATGCTATGAGATACACGGAATAAAACCTGTGTTACTGGTGTGCATATTTGCTCACAGGATAGGTATACCTGTGTGTATACTCGGATGAAAGTCTGTGCGTTGCTTAGTATGCATGTTGATCACACCTATTCATGGTAAGTAGTCACTAGAAATCCTTTACTTGTTCGTATTACGCTATTCAGAGTTCTTGGATTTCAGATGTTAGGTATAAATTGTGGTCGCGTGACGAAAGTCGGATAATGTTAAGTAGAACTTAGCTACTTATCAAATCCCACTAAGACAAGTAGTCTTTCGCTGAATCGGGCGCAAATTTCGCCTTCTTTTCGTGGAAGACACTTAGATAAGTAGAGCTGATGAGTTGCAGATAACAAAAGCCTTGATATAAACACTATTTATCGACCGACTGTAGGGTAGATACTGACGACACAAACTGCTATTCCAATGAACCGTATAAAAACAACCATCATGTTATACAAGTTTTATTCACTTCTGAAATACGTACCCTTGGGACAACAATCAGTTGCACTAGCAAGATCGCAAGTCGATTTATATCTGGTTAAGTGGTGGGGATATTAGCCAAGCTCACCGTTTTCCTGTACTGATGTTACATGAACACTAGCACCGAAGTCCTCTAGAATAGTATTGAGATTAGATGACACGGAAACTGACCTTGGAACCACCGGCTATTAATTCTAGCATCTGATAGTGGTGCATACTCCCAGTGTCTGCTAAGTTGAGTACCTTGAGTGGGATACATAGTCGCAGTTACGCTCATTCTTAACCTTCACTTGATTGTTTCATACTACTTTTATATTTCGCACTCATCGGATTATCATTGCAAAAATAAAACACCTTATATTATCTTGATTCACTGCTTTCTTGGTGTCTGTTAGGGCAATGTGAAGTGGTTCTTAAAACACATTGCCAGTACATCCTTTATTTCTATGATTGCTGCCCAAAAACCTAAAATTACTGATTACCCATCCACTTGACTATTCAGTACCTCAAGTAGACGAATACATGTACTGCTCAGTGTACAACAGCATGCATGATTTACAACTAGACTCAGTAATACTTGAGCTTTGCATTATTTCCATTATAAGCGCCCACACCTTAGTGAATGGTTAGGCAGCTAAAACGCTTAAACAAACCATTTCATTCCAAGTCATGTTATGCGTCTACAAAGTACAGTGTAACTCCCTAACCATAATGCACTTTTTGCAGACTATGTATTTTTCTAATGATCTTGACCTTTCGACAGATTATTTTTTTTGCTTTTTAGGACTACTAGACTCGTCGTGCCATTTACCGTAAGTATACCGCCTACAGCACTAATGTATCTAGGAACTGAACTCGGAGAGCTCAAGAAGTACAGTCAAACTCTACGTTATGTTAAAATATCTCCCGGTCCAGCACCCAGACATGATATAATTACATTGCATAGACATGGACATGCATTCGGCGGGTTACCATGGCTTTTTTGGATTAGTTTGGTTTTACTGATCGCTATTTTTCACATGTTTTTTTGTAAAATCATATACAACGAACTGCGAAATAAGAACCAGAAGTTTGAACCTCAGAATTCCTGGAAGTTACCACGATACGCGTCTGACTTGATCTCCTCAACAGGTCTTGAAACTAAAGCCCTTAGAAACACCCAAATATCAAGACGAAGAATAGTTGATTTAGACACTGTCCCATGACTGGGTCATAGTGAATCTAACTATTTTTCATCCAATTCGCTTTCTTTTATAAAAAAAATATTTTTAGAGATAAACATTTATATACATATATGAAACAAAACTGTTTTGAACAAAGCACAGTTATTCATACTGAAAAATATAGTGTTAGAAAGTAATATTACACAACAGATGTTTATGGTCTTCAAATTTATTTCCGAATGAATTACGGTTGGGTGAGCAACTCTTAGGAAGTGCACAACACCGGATACCATAAGTTATCCAAGCATTACACAAAAATACAACAAATTAAACCAAAAAGAATTCGTAACTTGCTTTGCGAATGATACAGGAGAGGGAAAGTTATTAATTTAGAGTACTGTTAAATTAGTGACTGGACACTTTGGTTAGCAATGTACATTTACAACGAGTAGTTTCAAAGTACCAATACATTCCTAGATTTTCTCTGTACATTCCAAAAGATTTCTGTACAATTATTCTACAAAACTAAAGAACAGCTGCTGCCACGCAAGCACTTGGTCATCAAACAGGTCAGTAAAAGCGTTGTTAGGCATTGAAAAGTTTATCACAGATACCGAGAGCGCTAGTAAACATAAAAGACAAACATAACTACGAACAAGTAGGCAGAACAATAACCAGGCCGTGTGACAGGTTAATAGACTGAAGAAGTTTGAAATAAAGATTCTTAGTAAAAGCCAGGTTTAGCTGCCCATGAGTACGCCACTAGAAAATGCTCCGACAGCTTTAACCAGTTAGAGCGTACCGGGAGTAAAGGCAAACAAAGCGAAGTTAAAGCGCCATGTGACGGGACTTGTGAAATTAAGGGATGACAAAACAATATTAGAAGGGAAAGCGGCCTGTTTAGGTGAGCTGCCGCAAATGAGCCGTGATTTACATTGAAAGAGTTGAGGCTGAAAGTCAAAAAATCAACAGAGATCTAAATTACAAAATGCAAAGAACAAATGCTAACCAGAGTTGGAATCAGAACATCATCATATACGTAATTTAAAGGACATGTAGGAAGGGCATGATGACAATCTGCTTACGATAGGTTTTTAGCTACTTTTGTGACCTCCTGTCGAATCAGCAGGTGATGTGCGACCGGAATGATCGGCACTATGAACATTGTTACGAAAGATTGATGACGCATATGAAACGTTGTGACCTGCAGAAGACTCCGAATCATGTTGAGGACTCGAACCGTTCATTTGCATCCAAGTATTAGATACACCGTTAGGACAATAATTTAGACCGTAGACAAGGTTTAGAACCCGTTGGTCAATTTTCCCACCACTATGCTCCTAAACTCAGTTAGTACAAAGTAAAAGCAACATACCTCCAGAAATCTGAAGAACGTTTCACCTGTGAGCATTGCGTCACTTCCAGCTTGGTGCTGTAAGCCGATACGTGGTACTCTCATTAGGTCGGCTAACTCTTGTAATCCACTCTTGGGGAACTTGTGCTCACTCATCATTGACTTTAGATCTACTATCCTGGGAAAGAAAATCAACAACAGCTTTTGAAACTCCAAGAAGTTGTCCGGCATCCTCATCCAATCTGTACAAATCTTCATCAAATAGGCAAAATCGTAGGCACTAAATATGGCTTTAATTTAGCTCCTCGAAACCTACCTGTGGAACCCTATCCACGTTATTTTGTCATTCAGCGGAAGACCACTGGTAAGAAAAGCCTCTGCGAAATCACTAAGTTCAACTCCTGTTCTTTTTAACTTATCGAAGTCTATTCCAGAAACTTCCAATAATTGAATAGAATCGGCCGCATGCATTTCATTGTCAACATTCCACTTGATGTTAAACTGCACAGTTGAGACCGAATCGACCGTCTGACCACTCTCGTCGAAAAAACTAAACCCAATCTGTATTGGTTTAAGCATGTCAATATTAACTTTAATATTGTGGTAGGCTTGTTCAAAACTGTTGGCGTACTCACCAAAAACCTTTGCAACAACACCTGGAAACTCTGTATCTACCGCAACATACTGACATTCTCGTACAAGTCTACGGACAAGGCGCATTCCCTCATGAAAATTGTGGGCCCAAATATCCCAAACGCGAACCTGACTGCTATCCTGTGGAACAGTGAGGGCGGTGACATTGTTAGGATTCGAATGAACATGATGCAGTATTCCATGGTGGACGTGATTATGTGTAGTATGTCCATGACTGTGGTACGCGGATCCAGAGGTGTAACTATCACTTGTTACTGTCATATTAGATCGGTAGTTATACTTTCCGAAATGAGGATTAACAGGTGACTCGGGAAGTGAAGTATGAAGTATGTGATTTGAATAGCCGTTTTGTGTTATAGATTGGAGTTCGCGAAATGGGTGCATTGAATAACATAAGTGACACATTCAGTTATCCTGCCTGAAAATATACACAAGATATAAGGATCACACCAATTACGTAAAGCAATAGAATAAGATAGCAAAGATAGGCAAACACATACCAAGACCGCTCATAAGAGTAAGACAATAGTTCTATTCCGCACTTTGACACTTTCGCTTCCCCCCAAAAATACAGAGTAGCTTGATGAAACAAAACGAGTGTTTTAGAAAATTAAGCATTTTACTCGTTGACGTTAGTGTTTATTTATTGACTAATAATTACATAAGCAATTTTTCAGTATAAATCGCAAGACTTCGATACTATTGCCGTTCAATATACAATCTTAATCTTTGCAATTTTTAAAGACAGAATACCCCAACCATTTAAGATGCTGAGACAGTGATGCGTGACTCATAAATATGGTAATTACTACGACGACAACTGGAATGTAGAAAACAAGATGTCAAACTAGTAGTGAACTGTTGCTCTGAATATTCAACAGATGATCCTTGTAAAATGGGTGTAGAAACCTCGGAGTAGGTGATCTGCAGTGGTACTTGAATCCTTTAAAAGTAATGGTTCTGTAATTCTTTGACATTTGATGCTAACTGCGTTAGTTTTAATGGACCCACCCAACTGAAGGCGCTCTGTCATGCTTCCGCACCACATCTACACATCTACAACCGCTTGTCAGCTTAGATTAAAAACTTATCGATATATTGATGGCCCATCGAATATGTCTTCAAACCTCTCAGCACACTCCCTGTTATCTGGATAAACTTGGAGATTGCATTATCAGTAAACTCGTCCGATTACAAACCATTGGAATACATAATATCATAAGTTCTAGTTCAGTGCACCATAAATCTCACTAGATATGGGTTAGGTGCCATGTCTGTGTTAGATTCAGGCTCTAATGGATGTGATGATCTTAGTTGAATTGAACACATCCAGCCCAGGAAGTGATCACACTGTCCAGCGCCCTAAAGTCTAACACGCGGACATTATGGTCCATCCCAATGCATAGAAGATGATGTGAATGTAACCAACCTTACGGCCTCAATCGGAGACTGAACAATCGACTTGAAAGCATCAGCTGGAGTGTTTTGAAGTCGATTCTAAAGGTTTTTTGTCTCATTTTTCGTATTCTAGACTGTTCCGAAGGAAAGAGAACTTGAATATTCCTGGATACATTGTGAGATTTTCTTGCTTCAACAAAAGTTACTGGAACATTTCCGATATTCTTGGAACAGAAGAGACAGTTAATCCTTGCACGTCAATTCAAAATAAATGAATCTTGACAATCTGTACACCACAGAGAAAATCAAGCAACATCATTTACAGAACGACAGCATGTTTACAAAGTCTCAATTCAATTAGTCGGCGGAGTGAGTCATAGATGGGAGAGAAACCAAGGCTAAACGAAAGCTATGGCATGTTACTTCATGATGACGTTTGCTCATGAGCTTCTTCATAACACAAGATTGGCCTCAGACTCGGTGTCATCTAAACGCCCCCCTTCTGACTTCAACCAGGATGATGGATTAAAGTCACTAAGACCTCCAAATAGAGAAAGAAACGGGAAAGGATGGGCCACATCCTTAGACTATTGATACAACATGTGATATATCTCTGTCCCTCGCACTGTAACGTTCAAAATGCCTGTCAGCCAATATGACGCCAGTAAGCTAGGAGGATGTGGCTGCCGCTCTAGTTTCCAAGAAAGGATCATGGTAACTATCAGGGTACAGACCATTAACATCACCGTTGTCGTAGTTTTAGCATTAAAAAGAATTGTAACAGCTTAATTTGACTGGTTAAGAGTTGACCTCAAACAACTAAGTCAAATGTCGAAACAATAGAGTTCAAGTATTCATGCACTTCCCTATTTTGTATAGACATTATATTTCCTATTATCTTATATTGAATGTTGAAAAGCTTTGTTTGTCTGAACAGGCAATCCCACGCTCCACTGTGACTGGGCGAAAATATAGATAAAGGCCTATTCACTACTAGTCCGATTTCTTATGTCAAAAAACAAGGGTTACCGATAGGCACGAAAGAATCGCCAGGGAGTTCGATATAACCTTCCTTTTAATCAGTAAGATGGCTGTCGGTAAGCAGTACGGTTCAGTAAAAACATGTCGTGCGTAGTGATCTACCTGACAACAAGATAGCGATTTATTGGGTCGTTCAATGACTAAAAATCGATGGATATTGTCTACGTTTACTTCGGCGAAGCCTTTGATAACGTGATGTATTATAGGCTCCTACTAAAACTAAAAAATTAGGGGTTTCTGAGTCCTTGTCAAAGTGAACCAAACGCCGTTTTGTCTGTTGACAGATGGTAATAATAAATTTTGAATGTTCACCCTGGAATCTAGTTTACAGTTGAGTACAGTATAGCTCTGTCCTTTGTTTAGACTTTATGTGAATTGGCTACGCTATGTCGTTAGGCCTGTGATGCTACTTTGCTCTCGTGACGTCAATGTCTGGAGAGAAGTATCAAGGGATGATGATCTGTATGTCTTTCAGGCCAACGTGAACATTCTGGCGAGTCGGTTTCGATTGTGATTTGTGCTCATTATTAAGATAGGGTATGTCCACAAGCATAGGTGATAGGAAAATGTTAGTAACTCCAGCGCAGTTGATGAGTCAGACCCTGTGGTCTTGCACTACAATAATCTAGGTTTAGTAATGGCTCATGGTTTCAAGACCAGAGACCACTTTCGTTACATAGCAGATAAATGATTTATGTTACGTACAAGTTATGCTCGTTCCAGTTATTAAGTACGGACTTTCGATCTACTTGCAAATTACGAACCCAAATTAACAACAGAACCAAACTCCAATTTAGATACCAAATTTATTCGCAATTCACAAATAGTCTACCAAGTATCGTTCTAACAACAATAATTATAACAATTACAAAACAAACCTTCAATTTTGTAGGTTCCCGGAGCAAAACTACCAAATACCAAACCAACGACAAAGGGAAACCGAAATGTCCGAAATAATGATATAAACAAACAAGTTCAAAGTTAAGTAATACAAATACATCCAAAAACACGGTAAATTGTTAATATAAAATAGAAAGGTTTCAATTCGCCAAATGTCTCCAGTTCTTCTGTAACAGATTTAGAGCAGTACAAGAATTAGACTTATTTTTTCTCTGGAAGATGCCACAGGTATTTGAAGTTTAAAAATGCTTAACCAGTAACATTTTCTAATATGAATCGTACCCATCAAGTGAAATCAAAATACAAAAGCGGGGAGGTTCGAACATTTATTTGATAGGCTATCAATATATCGTGGATCGTCTGATCTAATCTGGCTAGCGATTGGAGAGGATTTTGAGCACAGATTTCCCACTGGTGATCTGGTGCGGATTCATGACCGGGCGCCTTCAGCTAGATGAGTTCACTAAAACTAATGTGGTCAGAATCCAATGTCGAATACTTGCAGAGCTATTTATTTTATGGATTTATTTATCGCTACAGTCTGTTTGATATGGATATGTTTACTAAACATTACACAGCCTTATTATTATTACTATTATTATTATTATTATTATTATTATTCACAAACATCTTATGGGTACATAAGTGCTGTGAAGAAACCATTTCGGGTTTCTTCAAAAATGCAATAATACACAATTTTCAATAATGTCAGCATTATACTTGCCATTAAAAGAAACATTTAGAGCAATAATAGTAGAATATTAATAATAATAAATCGGGTCTGTGTAATCGAGAAGAATATTGAATTGAGTTTAAAGAAGGAAATGGATAAAATAAGGGGATAGAAATAAAGGAGACGTGAAATATGCAAACAGTCTAATAGGCGTGTTTATGAACACAGAACAAGAATAAACGACTATGTTTATATCGTCAAATTAGTAACAAAAATAATTAAGAAAAAAGATCTTATTATTGTAGTAAGATATGACGCTAGAATAAATGTTTGTGCAGTTATAGTTTGGAGTGATGCGATGAAAGTCTCAATTGAGTGAAAAGGATAATAAAATATCAATATGTATGAGACATATATGCATAGTGAATATAAAACAGGTCTGAGAAGTTAATGTAAGTATAACACAAGCTATTGTTTTAATTACAAACTTCGTAATCTTAAGAATAATATTTATTTAGAGGGAAAGAAGAGAGAAAAGAAGTGAACACTTAGTGAAAAGTTTTGATCTATGATAAGAATAATAATTGTGTAATGAATATCAACCTCACAAGGAAACCAGCAATTGAAAAAATAAAATAAAAATCCTTGAAAGCACTCGGATGAATACATTTAGATTTATGTAATAGTATACAGAGTGAAACCGGATATTAGTATAAATATTTGTGCAATAATAATTAAGAATGATGCTATGAAAGTCACAATTAATTTCAAAGGACAGTCAGGAATTAAATATGTTAAGAAGGATAAGAAGATATGAAAAGAATATCTAATGTGTCGGGGGAACAATAATGATATTATTAACGGTAATAATGATAAACACGAACATAAGCAGACTTCATATATTAAGATAAATAGAAACAAAATAAAATAGACGTGGAAAGATTTAAAGGTTTTATTTTGCTTTTCAGTCAATTAGATGGATGATGGAACTTGTTTGTATAAATCATTAATAAATATATTGATATTCAATAGGTGACACAATCCATTTTCGGAAAGAAAATCATCAAGGAGACTTCTGAACCGGGTTGTATTTTCACCGTAACGGAGGTTCACTAGCAGTCTGTTTCACATGGTTGAGTGGTGAGTAACGAAAAAGTTCTGACGTAAGTTTGTGTGGGTCCTTGGAATCGCTAGAATATTCTCCTTATTGCGTAGATTGTGGGATGATGTCATAGAGTATGGATGGGTGGATACCAAAGAATAGGAAATGACGTTAATAAGCCGGTAGATAAAGGCAAGATTTAATTTGATACGCCTGATCCAGAGAGGTTCTAATTTGAGTTCTTGATATCTTTGTTGATAGTCTTTGTTGTCGGAATACTCCAGAACAGCTTTGGTGAACTTTCTTTGAACACCTTCAATTCTAATCAGGTCATTATGTCTACAATTACTGTAAACTAAAATACCATATTCAAGAATGGGTAAGATACATTTTCTGTATAGTAACAATCTCGATTCGATATTACTGAAGTTTATCATTATCAATCCGATGAGCTTTCTAGCTTTGGATACTTGAGATATAATGTGTTCAGAAAAGTTCAGACTATTGCTATATCTTAAACCCAGTAGAGTCCATTTATAAAAGTTTGTGACCGTTTCATGTTTCTATTTACGAGATGACCCAGC